GAGACGTGGTTTATAATTATTTGACTTTAGGATATAACAGCTTTTAGCTTTGGTGGTGATGATGATATCTTAAAGGTCACATGCTAAAGTACAAAATGGCAAGTTCGTAAGTTTGATTCAAATACATTTCTATGTAACACTTGCTCAGGGGTAAGATCAGTGGGATAAACTCTTACACAATCATTGTACAGGTAATATGACTATTATGAATAAACAATTGGACAGAATTGGGATCTTTATAAGTAATATATACATGTTGTCACATGTCTTGTATTTGTAATTTAACATTAGTAATTTTACCATATTTGGTAAAAACAGAGGTGAGAAATTCTTGTTTAATGTTAAGATAAATGTCTGTGATATGCAAAATACGTTGCTAAAACTGCATGTTATTTTTGTAATTCTTATAATCAATAAGTTGTTCAATTTTCAAATCAGGAAATTTCATTAAAGAGATATTAGTCATCAATTCCTAATCGGAAAATAGATTATTGCAGATCTGATAAAGTTAACATAATAAACATTGACACTTTTGAACACGTCATCTGAAGCAAAGTGATTGTTGAGAGTCTTGATAATAATTTGGATTAGAAGGTCTTTGGTTGTCTTAGAAATAAGTGAAGCATAAATGAAAGGTGTTAGACGTAAGATAGTAATAAAGTCACAATTATTTGTATTCATATTTTCATCGTCTTTAATAAGAATGTATTCATTCTTGTCTAAAACATTTGGGGTGGAGTTTTATTGGAAGAAAAGTCTTGACAATAATAGTTTTATCCAAGAAAATATTGTTAGAAGAAGCACTTTCAAAAGTTGAAGCAACAGGTTTAGGTTACTTATTACTTGTAGGATCAAAACAGAAGGTGTTTTTTTCTGTCTAGTATTTCATCTGCTATTTTTTGGAGTTATTATTTGTTTGTACTTTTGATAAAAACTCTTTCAAGAATAAAATATTTGTTGTAAAGGTAATGAATAACTGATTAACAAAGTTAAAAATATTAATAAAATTTTTGAGCAAAGCGACTTTATTTTCTAAAAAAATTTTGTTTCCAAAAATTTTGGGTGAAGTGGAAAAAAGTCTTGGGCTTTTTTTTTAAATAAATTATAAAGAAATAAATTATTATATAATATATGGAATTGTGATATAAAATCATTAAATATGTATATAATTTTATAAAAATATAACATTTTCTTATTTAGATTTCTTATAGGATTAGTAATTAACATTTTTAGTGATTTTTATGAAAAAAGAAAAAGTGTTTTTTTTTATATAAAATATATTTAAAATAATGAAAAACATATACAAATTTTTTATAAGATAAATACAAATACTAAACAAAAAGTTTTAGAAGAAAAAATATAATATTAGAAAAAAGATAACACAATAATAAAATAAATATTTAAATAATAATAATATAAGAATAAATTAAAAATAATTATAGATAAATTATCACTTAAAATATAAGTAATAGATTCTTAATAATTACATATTAATTTGTATTATAAATCCTTTTAATGATGAGTATCAGAAATGATCAAGAAAATACAAGTTTTATTGAAGCTATCAAACTCAAAAATATCATAAATTTATATAATAAGAGTTATGGTAATTATACTATTATTCATATTTGAAGTTGCTGATTTGATAGATTATCATTTTTACCAGATTCAGTTAAAGTCAATTAATTAGTTATCAGAATTAAAGATAGATATTAGTTGATAATTTGATCCTATAAAAGCTAAAGACCTTATTTTTTATTTTGATTAAATGTGACTTGTCAGGTTATTCTACTTGATATTCTTCCTCTTTTAATTAGACTTATATTATTAAAGAAAAAGTTACTTATAAAGTTTTATTATCTTTATTATAATATTTAATATTTATAATATATATCTTATTAGTCTTAAGCTTTTTTTTAGTATCTTTTATACAATGCTTGTTCTCTTATAGATGTTATTATTGGGTATTAATATAAGTATATGAATTTGGTGATACTTGTATTATAGTTCCTGATAGTGGTAAGTCTATTATAAGTAATAATATTACATTCAGAAAGATTTTATTACTTTTTTTAACTGGTATTACTATAGTTAAAGATAGAATTATAATTAGTATTATTTATTTATGGGAAGTTAGGAATAATATGATTTTTTCCTGAAGGGAAAAAACCATGGTATTTCCTCCTTATAAAATAAATATGTAATCCCTAGAAGTATGTTACTCATTAAATATATACATAATTAGCAATTTAAACTTTTTTTTGTATCATTGTTTTTCACGCTTATTTTTTCTTTATTAAACATTTTTTTTCTATTTCACATTATTCAAATCTTTTTAAATTAATAATGACTAAAGATGGTTCTCATAATTATTTTTAAAATTTTTAATTAGTTGCAACTTAAATTGTAACACTTTAAGTTACAATTATTTATGAATTTTTATATTAAAATAAATTTACAAGAAGTTGCAATTACCAAGTTGCAATTTCTTAATTATGGTGCTCATCTTTAATAATAACAACGTGATTTATTTCATTGACTAAAGAAATAATTTTAAAATTTTAGAAAACATCAAGAAATATAAATACAGACAAATCTAATAATATATAAATAGGTTTATTTATTAAGTTTCATAAAGCTTATGATTATTTAAATAAAATTGTTGAATTGGATAATAAAATATTATCTGATCAGTTGAAACAATTTTTAGTAGAAATAAGAAAATCTAATAGTCAAAAATATAAAGCATCATCATTATATATTGCATTTTGTACTTTGACAAGAAGAATTATAGAAGTATTTGAGAAAATTAGAATTGTGAATTTATATGATTTTTTTTAATTTAAAAGTTTATATAAAACTTTGGATGATCCTATAAAATCAATTGTTAATCAAGGACAATTTAATTGAAAACAATTAAATCCACTAAAAATTGATGAAATCAAATTTATACTTAACTTACCTGTCATTAATACAAATACCCCTAAAAGCCTTTTACGAAGGATTTGAATCTGATTAACTTTATTATGCTATTTAAGAGGTGGTGATACCAAATGATTGAAAGCTTCTTGGATTATTGAAATAGATAATAGTAGAATTAAATTTGAATTACCTAAGAAAAAGAATCATGCAGGGAAAATTAAAGATCCATATGCAGTATATATTACCTAATATTTCAGAAAACATTTATACTTCTGTTGCAAATATCCAAAAATACTTAAATAAAGATTCTAATAATGTTGAGGATGATTATTTTTTTATATCAATCAATATATCCAAAAATATAATTAGTATTTAACAACAAAGTTAGAAAAAGGATCACATGATTTGATGATGTATAATATATGTTTTGATTCTGGTCAACAGGTATTCACAATCTTGTTAAATCTGATGTCACACTTGATGAACAGATGATTTTTTCATGACATAAAACAATTGCAGGTATATCCACCTATTAGCATCAATCTATTAAATATAAATGAGATAATGCTTCTCTTCTAATTCCTACTAAAGATATGGCATTAAAGGATTCAACTAATTATACAAATCAATTAGATATGTAAACAAACATTTATGAAAATGTTTTAATTTTATTGTTTAGAACTAACTATATTTATTTTTTAGGATTTTCTAAGGCATCTGATTTAATTGGATGATATGACAATACTAACTTTGTTAAAAAAAAATGACTCAGATGATGATTTAATGTGTCAAAAATCAAAAATTCCAAAGATTTCTGTAGAAAATTGTAGCAATTTGTCAAATGGCTCCTTTAAAAAGTTGTTCTTATATCTGATCATAATAAATCTTCTTTAATAAATACTTGAGTAATCGATCCCTTTTAGTAAAACTATTTTCACTTTCTTGTGCCCTTATGAAATATGTTACAGTAAAGGTTATGTATGATTCAGCGTTATATTTAGGAAAAACCAAAAAGCTGGTAGTTTCTCGTAATCTGAGTGATAATATGGGCAAGATTGATCTAAATGATTAATAAATCTGATTTTATGATTGTCAAGTTCTCTATGTGTTACAATATGTTGTTGAACAATCTGCAAATATTCCTTCTCAGTGATGTGGTCTATGTTAAAATCCTCCAGTGTGCTTAAGATTCGTTCCACATGGCTTGAACCTTGTGAAGCTGAATAAAATGTTTCGAGGCTGTTAATTGGAAGAAAATTCAAGTTAGTTTAGTCAATAAAGTCAAGAAAGCTTGGTAAACAGATCCCGATTAGGTACAAGTAATTGGATTTCTTGTCCATTTAATTTAAGATTTACACATACATAAATAAATGTAAATTATAATATTGATCTAATTCCCATCATATCACTTGAACATGGAAACAGTTCCAATCACTTAAAGAAAATTAGTTACGAACCCAATAAACCTTTGCAGTTAAAAAAGTAAAGGTTAAAACAGCCCAAAATCCTTAACTGGATAATTAACCACTTTCACCCTCTGTTTTTTTTTAAAGAAAAAAGTTAGTTCTTGCTTACAATGTCAAATTTAATAATATTTATAAAAAGATTGATAGAATTTGTGTTTATTTAATAAAGGTATAACTTGTTTTAATTGGATAACTCCTTATCACGTATTAATTGCTTACAATGTCTTCTGTATTTTTGTGAAAACTTTATTGCTCGTCAGGAATATGATTTTTTAACAATATATTATCGCTACTAACTAAAGTGGATGATTATTAACAAGTGTATGCTGTATATATTGTCATCTTTCCAATATAAATATTGTACTCATCGCATAATTCTTTTTTGTGTTGATGGGATCTTTCTATGATAGAACTTATTATAATTTTTTGTGTTGCTCTCTTTAACTTCTTTGGACTAAAGAAAAGAATAATAATATTGTTGCATCATCCTGTAATTTTAACATTTTAATATCGAATGATATGATGATAATTTTTTGTATTAATCCGTCACTATTGGGTGCTTATTTTAATAAATAATGGTATTAAAGAAGTTGTCACTTAACCAATAGTGATTTAACAATCAATTAGTGGCAAATCATCAATTTTATGTTGTGAAAGTCCTTTAAATGATTTAAAATGATGATTAAGTGAATTATGAGTGTGAATTTTATAGCAAGAACCTAAACCACCTGATACCGTATTTGAACGACCATAAAATACTCGTCTAACCCTTGAATGTACAAGTGCCATTGAACACCTATAGCAAGTAATCACGTTTCTTATGATTAAAAATTCAAAAAATAATTTCTGTAAAAAATAAACACAAAATACTTACATTATACATGGTTCATGAGTTACAAATACATCATATCCTTTACATAAATACGCCCCTTCAACATTTTCTCTTTGTTTAGCAGAATCTTCCTCGTCGAGTATTATTTCTACATCATCTTTTCCAGTATCATCTCCAATAGTAACTTCATTAAATGTTCTTTTTCGAGGAACCTCAATTTTGTTTGATTTTTTAACACAATTTGATCTTTCCAAGGAAGCTATATCATCTATACAATTTAATACAGCATGTCTAAGTGGATTTTTTGTTGAATTACGAGTATCAATAACTTCCGATAGTATAATGTTTTTCTTTGGATCAACTAATATACATCCAATCGGTAATTCTCCTTTGGATTTCGCATTAGATGATAATTGAATAGCATTTTCCATATATTGTTTTATAAGTTCAATTTCTTTTAATGTAAATTTTGTTTCTCTAATTTTAATCACGATAAGACGTTCAATACTAATGTTAATCATTGAGAAAATAAAATTAAAACACTTAAAGTACCTTCTTGGATCTTCACGAAAATTTATTGGCCATAATTTTCTCCATTCGTCAAATTGAGTACGCGTAATAGCAGGATATTTACATATTTGTTGTATACGAGGTTTAAGTGTTGAACCAAGGTTATGATTATTTATTAATGTTGTTAATTCTGTCATTGTAATTATTTCAACTGAACATATCAACACTGCCAATGTAAATCCTATCATAAAATAATTTTAATTTGAGTTGGTGAAATTTCGAAACTTAGAACGAGAATAAATAATGAAATTCATAACTTACCTTTATCGTGAGAGATTTTCTTTATCCTTTTAGCATGACATAAAATTTCTCTATCACGAGGGCAATGATTTTCTAAAAATCTTGTTAAAATCAAAAAAAATTAAATAAAAATACAAAAAATACATCTAATTAAATCCTTATTAAATAACACCTTACTTTATCACTCGTTCTGTTTCTTTTGGTTCTACATCGCTCACATATATATCAACTATTTTTGGAAGTAAAAAGTTCTTATATTCTATAATAAAACTTTAAACAGTATATTTTAAAATAACAAATGAAATATGATACCTGTCTCTAAAACTCTGCTCTCTTCCTCGGATAATACACAATCAAACGGTAAAATTTGTCCCGCAGTTGTCATTATAAACAAGAAAGCTTCTCTAAAGCACGTGATTTTTAAGCTTGAAATGCTAAATGCATGTTTTAGCAGTTTTCCAATTCGAGCAAAAAAATAATATCGATATGGAACACAAATTTCCGGATATATCTGAAGGGATACCATACCATGCCTAAATCTAAAAAAAATTTTTTCATTCAACAGTAACAACTTATTTTTATATAACTTAAAGGTTTCCTAAAATAAATTAAAATGTACCCAACACGAGTTGTTAATGCTATGCATAAACACGTTCCACTTATTAAATTTCTTGGACCAAGAAGTAAATTTCACAAAGGTAATATAAAATATAATTCTTTTAATTCTTTTTTTAGATAAATTCCTTTATATTAACGAAACAATATTAGGAGAAACCGTTGATGCGGTTCCAAAACTACATCCGGCAGCGCCAAAATGGACCGATACTTCATTTTTCTCTGTGACAGAATCACAAAAACATTCAAGTAATAGCTTTAGATCTAAATCAATTTCAATGGATTATTCACAATTACCCGAAAAATATAAAAGAAAAGGACCTTCGCATGAGGAAATAGAAGTGATCGAAGTAAGCATATTTAAGATATTCTAATTTATGATCATAATTATTACTCTAATTAAAATTCTTCTAATTAGCTTGGCGGAGCTGATCATGTAATTCGGTATAAAGGTTATTGATATATATTTTTAAAATTTAATAAAATTTTTTTTTAATAAAAATAAAAATTATTTTCATGTTAAATTGCTTAGCCATTAATTTGATTGGCTCGGAAATTTAGATTTGTACATTGTGCTCAAGTGGCTTAGACAATCTTGTAACACATAATTATCCAATTTTAGTTAAGAAATAACCCCAAAAAATTTTTTTTTCACTCGAACTTCGTTTTTCTCCAATTTACAATAAATTAATTATACAAAATATGGACGAATCATTTTATGACGAATTCGGTAATTATCTTGGTTCTGATTTGCCAGAATCTGATGTAGAAGAAGGGGAGGAAACTCTTCAGACTATGCAAGAAGAATCAGAGGAAGAATATGAAGAAGGTGAAGTGGAACCTGGAAGTACTAGTATGGCGCTCATGGAAATAGACGGTACGCGTCCCACCCTATTATACCTTATATACCTCATTCTTTCGCGTTCCTGACAAATTTTCCTGGTTTCTTGATTTAAAAAATAATTAAATCAATCAATAAATGTTATTTAGCAGTAAAACTAATAAAACTTTATCATCGAAACCATGATGAGACGCGAATTTAACTATACACTTCAAATTATTTGTTTTCATTGTTTAAACATGTTTCGACTGATAGCTGGGGCTTACTTCTTTCAGATGTTCCTCAGACTCAAGTAATCCTTCATGAAGATAAAAAATATTACCCAAGTGCAGAAGAAGTTTATGGACCAGAAGTTGAGACATTGGTTCAGGAAGAGGATACACAACCTTTATCCGAACCAATTATTCAACCTATAAAAATTAAAAAGTTTCAAGTTCAAGAAAAAGACCTTCCAGAAACTAGATATAAAAAAGAGTAAATATAAAAGAAATAATTAAATATATAATTTTATTATAATTAATTAAAATTTTATTTTATATGTAGGTTTTTGATGGATATGATGAATTTTCCCGAGTTGATCCGGAATATTGCCATTGTCGGTCATTTACATCACGGAAAAACGTCATTCGTTGACATGTTGGTCAATGAAACACATTCATCAGTTGCCTGGGATGTTGATAGACAGGTATTTTGAAACTTTTGTAAATTCTATAAATGGAAACTCCATAAATTAACATTGATTTGATCGACAGGAACGTTACACGGACACGCATACTTTAGAAAGAGACAGAGGTGTAAGTATTAAAAGTATGCCAATGACTGTTATATTACAAAATTCAAATAGTAAATCATATTTATTTAGCATTCTAGATACTCCTGGTAAACATTTTTTTTATACAATTATTTTTTTATCGCTTTTTTAATGGGATATTTTTAGAATATAAACCATCATTTGATGTTTTCTCTGTAGGTCACGTGGATTTTGTTGATGAAGTTACAGCGGCGCTTCGTTTATCTGACGGTGCGGTTATTGTTGTAGACTCAATTGAAGGGGTAAGTGTTTGAACTTAAGATTTTTTTTTTTAAAAAAAAGGTGAGATTCAATTGATATTTATGGAATATATATATATATATATATTTGCTCAACAGGTTATGGCTAATACAGAGCGCCTGATCAAACACGTTATACAAGAAAATTTGTCATTTACTCTTGTGGTCAATAAAGTGGATAGGTTAATATTAGAATTAAAGTTACCACCCAATGATGCATATTATAAATTAAGACATACTATAGAAGAGGTGAATACGATTATCAGGTATGTATAAACGGGGATTTTACTAATTTATCCCCATTTTTCTGATTGGCTGGTATAATTGATATTAGTTAGGGTTAGGGTTAGGATTAGAGATTAGGTGATTTATCACCGGCGTGACACCTGTTTTAATTTTATTAAGTATCTGAGGGTCTTAAGAATTTTTTGGGGCTGTGATGTTTATTTGTCATCCATTGGGACGTGACAATTAACATATTTTATTATACCAGCCAATCGGAGCGGTGGGGTTGAAATTAGTGAACTCATAAACGGGGACTAAGTGCTAATCGTATGGAATTAAAAGGTTAACGCATCTTTATTGGCCTTTTAGTCAGTATGCCTCCGGACAGGATCTTCGAGTCTCTCCTGAGCGCGGGAATGTTTGTTTCGCGTCAAGCCAAATGGGGTGGTGCTTTACCTTGAAATCATTTGCTAAACTTTATGCCGACACTTACAGTAAGATTTCCTCGTTTTCTATGCTCTCTTTTTTTCTTTTATACCTGTTTTCATTATATATAACCTTTTAGGTGATTTAAATGCCGACGATTTCGCAAAGCGTTTGTGGGGAGATATATATTTTAATCCTACAGAAAGAACATTCAGCAGAAAATCTTTCGAAAGCAAAAGTAAACGATCATTTGTACATTTCATTTTAGATCCGTTATATAAAATTTATGCGCAGGTAAAATTGCATTTCTTTCTAATTGTACATTTTATCTTTTCTATATGCCTCATTGATCTCTCTCTTTTTTTTTTTAATTATATAGGTGATTGGTGAAAATGAAGATACGTTGAAACGAACATTAGCTTCATTAGGTATCTTTTTGAAAGCTTCACATTTTCAATTGGATGTAAAGCCTTTGTTACGTATAGTTTTGGACCAATTTTTTGGTCCGTCAACTGGTTTTGTGGACATGGTAGTACAGCACATTCCATCACCAGAGAAAAATGCTACTAATAAGGTAAGGTTTAATCAACTTTCTACCAAAAATAATTAAACAATTTCTTTATTTTAATTTTATAAGCATTTCCTTGTTTAGGTGGAACATGCTTACACTGGTCCTATGAATACGAATGTTGCAAAAGCAATGTATAAGTGTGATTCAGATGGTCCATTGATGGTCTATGTTACAAAACTATATAATTCTTCGGACGCATCAACATTTGACGCTTTCGGTAGAATTTTAAGTGGCACAGTCAGAAAAGGTCAATCTGTAAGGGTGCTCGGTGAAGGATATTCAATCGATGATGAGGAAGATATGACCTTACAAGAAGTTACGAACGTATGGATATTTGAATCTAGGTGATTCTCATACGAATATATTTAATAACAATTCAACGAAACTTTAGTTACTTTTAATAATAAGATTTTTTTTTTTATAGATATAGAATTGAAGTTGAGGGAGTTCCCGCAGGAAATTGGGTATTTCTAGGAGGTGTGGATAATTCGATAGTAAAAACAGCTACTATCACAAATAAAGACGTAGACGAGGATTTATATATTTTCCGACCTTTGTCTTTCGTAACTACCGCTGTCCTTAAAGTTGCCGTTGAACCTGTTAATCCTTCCGAATTACCAAAAATGTTGGATGGATTAAGAAAAATTAATAAAAGTTATCCTATTTTAGTAACTAAGGTGAGTATTAAAAATTTTTTTCCCAGATAATTGAATATTTTTAAATGAATGTTTTAAATGAAAATAGGTTGAAGAGTCTGGAGAACATATAATTCTTGGTACGGGCGAATTATACTTAGATTGCGTACTACATGACCTTCGACGAATGTATGCAGAAATTGAATTAAAAGTTTCGGACCCTGTTGTCCGATTTTGTGAAACTGTCGTTGAAACATCCGCCCTAAAATGTTTTGCTGAAACACCAAATAAAAAGTATGATTAAATCTAAATGTCATCAATATATAATAATTGAGCTATTCCTATTCCTTGATAATCAATCATTATCTATATTTTAGGAATAAATTGACGATGATAGCTGAGCCATTAGAGAAGGGTATTGCTGAAGATATTGAGGCTGGAAAAGTAAGCATCAAATGGTCAACCAAGGACATTGCAAAATTTTTTGAAGATAAATACTCCTGGGATTTATTGGCGGCACGTTCAATATGGGCCTTTGGTCCCGACGAAAATGGACCAAACATTTTAATGGATGATACTTTGCCGACGGAAGTAGATAAAAAATTACTTACCTCCGTTAGAGATTCGATACGACAAGGTTTTCAATGGGGTACTCGTGAAGGACCTCTTTGTGATGAACGTGAGTTTACAATAACATTATTTTATTTGTTGTATCACAAGTTTAATTTCGCAAATGTTTTATAGCCATACGTAATGTTAAGTTCAGAATATTGGATGCCGTTCTAGCACCGGAGCCAATATATCGTGGAGGTGGGCAGATAATTCCAACCGCTAGACGTGTTTCTTATTCCGCATTCTTGACGGTAATTTGTAATTATTTTGTCAATTTTGACAGAAAAATTATTTATTAACGATATTATTCGTATCCATTCCAGGCAACTCCAAGATTAATGGAACCGGTATATTATGTTGAGATTCAAGCACCAGCCGATTGTGTTTCGGCAGTATATACTGTTCTAGCACGACGGAGGTATTATATTATATATTATTTATTCAACAAAATATGTTATAATAGTTTTATATTAATAATATTTCATTTATTCAGGGGTCATGTCACGCAAGATATACCAAAAGCCGGTTCTCCATTATATACCGTCAAAGCGTATATTCCAGTAATAGAGGCTAATGGATTCGAAACAGATATGCGAACTCATACTCAAGGACAGGCATTTTGTCAACAAATGTTTGATCATTGGCAGGTAAATTTATTTATTTACTTTTTAAAAAAAAACCCTTATTTTATTTGCGTGATTATTACGTGAAATATTAATCACATTGTAAATTAATTAGATCATTCCTGGTGACCCATTGGACAAGAGTATAGTTCTTCGACCTTTGGAGCCAAGTCCTGCACAACATTTGGCGAGAGATTTTATGGTCAAAACGCGTAGACGTAAGGGATTGTCCGAAGACGTATCAGTCAATAAGGTGAAGATTTAAAATCATTATAATTTACAATTTTACATTTCTAATACAATATTTTAATTTGGATATTATAGTTTTTCGATGATCCATTACTTTTGGCCGTGGCACAATCAGACATTTTACCTAATATTTTGTAAAAAAAAATGGAATTTAGATGAATTATATACCAAATGCAAAATATAGAAGTCTATACTCAACAATAAAAATGTAATATCTAAAAATCTTTCAAGATGTTTAAAAAATAAAATTTAAAAGTAACTTTGTTCTTTAAGATAAGCTCTATTAAATTACCGATCAGATTTATAAAATAAGTTCTAGATAAAAAGTGGTGATTTTTATATGATTGGCTCAAATTGAAACAAAATCAAACCACGATCACGTGATTTGATTGGTTTAACAATCATAAATATATTATGTATTTAATCAATTAATTTACATTTTAATATACCAAGTGTCGATTACTTTTTTATTGCTAACACGTATTTTAGCTAATGTTGTATCACGTGACATTATATCAGTGCTGAAAATTTGAACAAAATCATGTGATTGTCTATAGTATATATAGACTTGGAAAAATAAATTTCAGCGCTCAAAAATTGAGTCGATACATGATTGGTCTAGTCTATTAAAAGTCCATATGATTGGGCAATTCAATCTCAGATCTGATAATAATTTTATCCAATAAATTTTGAACACGAATTTAATTTGGAGAAATTAACCAATAAATGAATTCCACATAAAATATAATTGATAAACAAATGATGTAAAAAGATATAAAAATTGTCAAAAGCTTTTGCTTTTTTTTTAAACAAAAAATACCTATCCTTTTCATAATTGGTTTTAACTGCTTTCAAGCGAGTTGTCTATTAACGATGAAGTGCAATCGACATTTTCTCGCTTTCCTAATTGCTTCAGCTCTTGCTGCCTGCATTTCTGCCGAGGAAGCTGTTCCTAATGCTTCTATTGCAGAAGAAAGACCGGACTTTAAGGTAGAATAATGTCTTTTTTTTGTTATTTTGGCTTTTATGCCTTAATATCCTCTTTTACTTCCTTTGTTATAAATAGATATAAAAACTTGTTTTGTTCGAAACAAAAAAACCACGTTTTTTCACTCAAAGGGTTTTTTTGGTGTTTGGGTTTTGTTTCAAGGATATTTATCCCTAGCAAACCTTAATCTTTAGAACAATATCAGCTTTATAGAATGTTGCCTCTCTCTTCATAACTCAATCACATTATCGTAAAAAAATATCGAGACTTTCTTACTTATTTATTTATTTATTTAAAAGCCCACAACTATTGAAGCTCCATTTTTAGAACAATTTACAGACGACTGGTCTAAACGATGGTTTCCAAGTTCTGCCACCAAAGAAACAAAAGGCGAGGGTCAAGAAGTCTTCAGTTATGTTGGAAAGTGGGAAGTTGAAGAGCCAACTGTCTTCCCAGCTATTTTAGGAGATAAGGGACTCGTTTTAAAATCAAAAGCAGCACATCATGCTATATCTACGTCTCTTAAAACGCCTTTGGATAACACAAACAAAAATTTGGTAGTTCAGTAAGTAACATATGAACTATGAAATAATTTGTTTTTTTTTAAAAAAAAAAAATTAAAAATTCCAAAACAAATTTATTAATACTTATAATTTCTTTAGATATGAAGTAAAACTTCAGAATGGACTTGAATGTGGCGGTGCATATATGAAATTATTGACAGAATCCGAGAAAGGGATCCATGCTGAAGAGTTTTCTGATAAAACACCTTACACGATTATGTTTGGACCTGATAAGTGTGGTAGCACTAATAAGGTGCACTTCATCTTCAGACACAAAAATCCAAAGACAGGTGAATATGAGGAAAAGCATATGTCAAGTGCTCCTTCAGCGAAAATATCAAAACTTAGCACTTTGTATACACTTATCGTAAAGTAAGTTATACGTTTTATATATATTCTATATATAAAATAATATTCTTGAATATATAAACAAAAAATAACAATAAATACTATTACAGGCCTGATAATTCATTCGAAATTCTTATTAATAATGAATCAACCAAGACCGGTAACCTTCTTAATGACTTTACACCTGCCGTCAATCCCCCAAAGGAAATTGGAGATCCTAATGGTATCTATTATTATCAGTGTTATAAATTATAGTTCAAATTTTTGATTTATAATCACAAAAGATATTTAGATAATTTGTAAACATATTTAGATAAAAAACCAGATGATTGGGTTGATCAACCAAGGATGGCCGATCCTGGTAGGTTTTGTTTACATATTGTATATTTTTAGAGTATATTAAATACATCGTCTAAATTAATAATATTATTTTTGATTTATTTAAAGATGCAAAGAAACCCGACGATTGGTAACTACGAATATTCCATTATTAAATTTATATATCTCTGACTTGAAATAATATTCAAATTAAATTCTTTTATATAGGGATGAGGATGCACTTAAAGAGATTCCTGATGAAGATGCTAAAAAACCAGAAGGTTGGCTTGATGATGAACCGCTTTTTATCCCAGACCCAAATGTTAAGAAACCAGAGGACTGGGATGAAGAAGAGGATGGAGATTGGATTGCTCCAACAATTTCTAATCCAAAGTGTGAAGAAGCTCCTGGATGTGGTGATTGGGAGCCTCCAATGAAGAATAATCCTAATTACAAAGGTAAATGGTATCCTCCGGAAATCGATAACCCAGCTTACAAAGGTCCATGGACGGCTCGTCTAATTCCAAACCCCGATTACTATGAAGATTTACATCCTTCCAACTTTGAAAAAATCGTGAGTTGAATTATTTTAATATTTTAATTAACCGTTTAATATTTTTATATTATTTACATTTGTTATTACGTTTATCTAGGCTGCCATTGGCTTTGAACTCTGGACTATGCAAGACAACATTCTTTTTGATAATATTTATATCGGTCATTCTGTGGAAGATGCAAAAAAATTTGCTGAAGAAACATGGGTTGTTAAATATAAGATCGAAAAAGAAACTGAAGATAAGGAATTGAAGAAAGATATTTCAGAAGTATGTTGTCTTTTTTTTTTGTCGTCTATAAAAAATTATTCAATTTGAATTATGTGACATTTTATTGATTTTTACTATTATCAATGTAATTTAGTCTCCTATATCTTTCTGGGACGATCCTGTTAAATACTTGCGAACGGAAGTTGATAATTTCCTTGCTCTCGCATTTGAAGAACCTTTGGAAGCTATTAAACAAAAACCAGAGATAGCAGGGCTTTTCGGTGGAGCAGCTGTTATTTTGTCCGTTCTTGTCACGATTTTAATTAAATTACTGAATCTGGCTAAAAAAGTATAGTATTATATTTTATAATTTTTTTTTTTGGAATTTTGGATTTGATTTCATACAATATTTATATTATAATCCATATTTGTTTGTTCCAATTAGCCATCGGCCCCTCACAAAAAAACTGACGAACCAACCCCGGATGATAAAGATGCAGATAAAGACGTTGCAGATTCACCGAAAGATGATGGAAGTGAAGGCGATAATGAAGGAGAAAGTAATGTAACTAAAAGATCATTAAGAAAGAAGCCACCAAAAGACAATTAATTAAATAATAATCTTCACATTTTCATGTTAATATAGTATTAAAAGTATTTTAAGAAAATTTAGGTAGTAGTTTTAGTAGTTTTTTTTAATTATTATTATTTTTTTTTATGGACATTCCCAGTCATGTAGTTTAATGTTATATATTAGAAATAAAAATAATGAATGTAGTAATTAATATATTATAATTTATTTTACGTCAGCAAACAGAAAATATGAATGGTGCAAATTTTTTTAAAATTTAATCCGATGACATATTACGTAAATTTGAGCAAATCTGAGAGATCTTCTGCGGATTATTAAAATATCTCGGTCTGGTGATCCGTGGGTCGAAGGCGGCCGATTTTTAGACCGATCTTTATAGATTGATTTTGAACTCAATATTTAATAATTGGTAGTAGCGAACTTTAATTATAAATGATAATATATTCCGTTATTGTAAAAAATCAGAGACCTTCTAATTTAAGTAAATAACATTTTATTTTTAGTATATCAATCTAAGAATTACAAAAGAGAACGAATATTAGGTATTATTGAAAAGGCTTAATTTGTGTTTCCCATTTACAACATAACATAATTTTGCAAAAATCATGATTCTTGGGGATTTATAAAGAGAAATACATAAATTTCATTATTAGCGAATCGTATTATTATTTTGTAAATAAATCGTTGAAAAAGTTGCAGTAAAAACCTTTCTCCTCCAATTGAGGTTTTGTTATAGATTTACATATCTGAAATATTTAATTTTAATTTCGAGCGGGCGGTAATTTCTCCTATCAAGGATCGACTCTATTTGTTGAGTCGGGCAAAAAACTTGTTTCGGATCACAAGTGTAACGGAACGCAAAAGTATATAGTTTCCGGACTAATTACTCGAAAACCGTTATTATATAAATAAAGTTTTTGTTATCGTGACGGACCGATCCGGATCGTGATCCAAAACCGTCTCCCTGAGATAGTTAACATCCCTACTGGTCGTGTATCGCAAATAAAGTATTTCTTGCTCAACCATTTTTTTTTTTCCATTTAGAACAACTTTGATACTTAACTTATACATTCATTCAAATTTACCTTACTGCTCCATAAAAGTAAGATAATTTAAAAGATACGCTTCCATTTTTTTTTTAAAGAAAAAAAAAGATAAATAAAAATGTCAACAGCACCGACAGTACTTGTACTTGGCGGTTTAGGTTTTATTGGACGTAATTTTGTTCCTTACCTTTACGAGAATAAACTTGCTTCAGAAATAAGAGTAGTTGACAAGTCGTTGCTTTTAACTGCTAACCTGAACCCGAAACAAAAAGAGGCGTTCAAAAATGTAGAAGTTAAACAGAAGGACTTGGTTGATCTTGGTATGCGTTTTTGAGTATTTACTAACGTGTTAATGGAATATAACTTACATATTTAATCCATCGTTTGAATAAATAAATAAACAATGCGATATAATTTGATTAGCCTCTATCAGAGATGTCTTTACACGGGAAGATGGAAGCTCTTATGACTACGTATTTAATTTAGCAGCCGAAACGAAATATTCGCAAAGTGAAATAGTAATTATCATTATACTTCAATTGAATATTATTTACTTTAATAAATGATATCTAATAATTTGTAATTTATAAATATAAATTAGGTTTACGAAGACCGTGTATATTTATTATCGGTTCGTAATGCTGAAGAGGCTGCTAAGCGTAAAGTCAAATGTTTTGTTGAATTATCGACAGCGGAAATTTACCAGGGAGACAAAGTAAATTGAATTATAACCATGATATTATCCTTTATAATAAATAACAAATAAATTTATTAAACCTCCTCCTAATTTCTTAAAGAATCCTAGTAAGGAGGACGAAAAAATAAAGCCATGGACCAATATTGCAAAATATAAATATAAAGCTGAAGAAAAATTGAAGACAATTGAAGGTCTTAATCTAGTCATTTTGCGACCAGCCATTGTTTACGGAAAGGGGGCACAGATGGGTTTAGTTCCTCGTATTGTATGTGGTAGAATTTATCAATATACCAAAGAGGAAATGAAGTTTTTGTGGAGCAAAGACCTAAAGATCAATACTGTTCACGTAACTGATGTAGTTCGTGCAATGTGGCATATTGCTGGTTGGTATGAAGAAAATGAAAGGTCAGGTAAAGGAGTGTTGACTTATAACTTGGCCGATCAAGGCAATACAGGTACGTAATCATTAGTTTCAAGATGATTATTTAGAAGAAAAATTTTTATTAAGTTCTCTTATGGATCTTTTCTTTTTATTTAGATCAAGAGAGAGTTAACAAACACATTAGTAACGTCTTTAAAATTCAAACCGGATGTCTCGGGACTATTGCTTCTAACTTTGCTCAAGTATGTATGATCTCATTAAACGAAAACCGTTTATTAATTAAATTCAAAATTAAATTTTCTATAAATATTTCTCAGTTGAATCTTGATAATACTGTTGAAGATGTTAATGATAAACATATGCGTCCTTGGGCTTTTCTCTTGAAAAGAAATAAAATCAAGAGTACTCCATTAAGTCCATATCTGGATAAAGAATTATTATACAATAATGCATTGTCTGTTGATGGTACAAAAATTACCCAGGATACAAAATTTCAATATGAAGTTCCTGAACTGACAGATGAGAAAATTCAAGAAATGATTGACGATTTTATTGTATTAGGTTTATGGCCAGTTGATGATTAAAAATAGCTAAATGTTAGTTGTTTTATATTTATTTCTTGGGAGTTTGATTTTATTTAGATTTATGTTATATTTGTTTAGCATTTTATTTTATTTTATTTATTATTTTTTTTTTTTTAAAAAAAAAAAGTTTTTTTATATTTTTTTCATAAGCTCATCTTTGCTGAAATTATTAATTATTTTGTCTTTTTAATTCCTGTAATAATTTACCCTTATACAATAATATTCGTTTTTATATATCCTTTTTGTTTCATTCAAGCTTATGAAAGACTCCGATTCATATTACTTTTTTTTCGCATTTTTACATTTCATCATTTTATCGGTTAGGATCCATATTATATATCTTTTTGTTTTTCAAATCGTCCTTTTTTTTCCTTTCTATCTTTTGAATACAGTCGTACCTCTATATAGTCACCCTCTCTATAAGCACGTCATATGTATAGTCACATATTTGAAATTTTTGATAGGTTTAAATCATAAGAAAAATCCCTTCCTATAATCACAATCATAGTAATTCCTCTTTATAAGCACATTTTGCTTTAAAAGTCATTACGTGCCCGACTATGTGACTATAAAGAGGTACGACTGTATACAGTACAATAATCGATATAAAATATTGTGAAAATTTATTATTCATTGACGAATTTGTCGATTTTCAAAAGAAATTATGTTTTAATAACTAATGTAAAGACCGTCGTTCCAAAATTGACTAATAAATCCCAAATTTGGAATACTCATTTGGTCCGACCCGACTCCGTACCATACAATACTCATTTGTTTGATCCCGATTATACTACTTTTCCTCAGAAAGGTAATGTGGCTAAGTAATTATTCGTAATGATAGTGTTAGAGATTAACGCGTTCATGATAATTATTTATTGTCGAAAGAATTTTTATATCAAATATATTACGATTGATCTAAAAAAAATTATTATTATTATTTAATTATTGACATTTATATTTCTATTCAAAATTTTAAAATTATGACTGACTAAACACAACTGAAGCTACTTGACCGTTTAAATAAAAATAGTGATAATAAATACACGTACACGATTAATAAGCCTCATATTATTAAAAGAAAGGGAAAAAAAAAAAAAAATATTAGTAAAAAAAATAATAATTTTAAGCGTAAAAATGTCTAATGGATATTTTTTTTTTAAGATAGGAATGATCAAAGAAATTAAATAATTATAACTATTTAGAAGTAAAAAAAATTAAAATAGTTCATAAATTCATATATTTAAGATCAATAATACACGTTTAATCTTTCCCATCGTTTTATAAAATTTATGCTGAATTTACGCGACCCAAGAAAGTGATAACAAGAGTAAATAATAACAAGAAACTTCCTTGAATTGGGGATATCATGAAAGCGGCACTGTTAAGAAGAGTATTAGGATTCTTTGGAGTAGATGTGGGTGAAGCAGCGGAATTATCAGGAGTCTTTCCATTATCGCCAACAGTTGTTGGGGGTTCTTTTGGAGGTCTGACATATGTGGCAGTGCAATTTTTCTGACATCCGTTAACACAATCTTGAGCGGCGGGACCACAGTTTTTTGTACATGTCTCTTGATCAGCGATACACATAAAGTATGGTATGGTTTGGGTGTATTCTAAAATAATTAAGGCAATTAAAAATTTATAAATCTATCCGGTTTTGCCCATTTTAACTTTACGCAAGAAATCGTTGAAATAATTACCAGTAGAGTTTGGTGTTATCCCATTTGCACAAACACAGGAATATTCAAGAGTATCTGCTTTACAATAATTGATTGATACTCCTCCACTACCATTATCATTACAAATGTTTGTACAGGTGGTCGTTTGATCATTACACCAAGTGGCTTTGGTGTTGGGATCTACTGTGTTGGCTACAAATTGACGAGTGAAAAGTTTAGAAAAAAAAACCAAGGTTTACAGGAATTCTATCGAACAATAAATTCACAAACAACTTACGATCAAAAGAGTAAACTTTGGACACGAGTAAAACAACGAAAAGCAAAAGTGCACTGAAGAAAAGATTTTTCGGTTGAGACATTGTGAAATCGACTATTTTTTTTTAAATTTTTTTTTAAAAAAATGAAAGGAAGAAAAGGGTTCTTTTCAAAAGGACAAGAAATAATGGAAAAACACCTCAACAAAATGCGTCTTTACAAATGGAGATGATCCTTAAAAAAAAAAGAGAGAACAAAAAAAAAAAGATATATAAATATAAAATTTTGCTCAAGTTTTAGAAGTACATAATAAACAAATGTAAAACACAAGATATAAATACAGTAAATCGTATCGTACAAAATCATTTTTGTGATCTATTATGAATTTACCTGTTCAAGTATAAAGTCTTATAATACTCTATATTTGGTAAAAGCCACAAGCAAAAAGGATCGGGAAGCTAGGCCACCGAAATTTAACAGAGAATAAATGCACTTTTTTTTAAAAAAAAAAAAGATGCCAAAGTTTCAAGAATCTAAAATATATCTTTTGTCTTTTTGATCATAATATAATAAAATAAAATAAATCCCTTTTGATCAAAAGAATGAATCAATACTTATTATTATGCAGGGTATATTAGTTTGATTAACATAAATCCTGGCAAGGTTTTATATATATATTTTTTTTTTGCGCCTTAAACATTGTTTATTGGTCTCCTTGTTATTCATGTTCCTAACATCCTGCATATTTTTAAAGAAATTATCCAAGGTGTATTTTTAGGAGATCGGGTAACCTTTTTTTAGGAAGAAAGATATTTATTTAAAAATGTTTTTTTTGTAATTGCTTTTTTTAATAAAGGGAACTTTTTATGGGAAATTTTTTTTTTTTTTAGAAATGATGATGATACTAAAAGGTCTTGGCTTTTTTACGACAAAAAAAATACTATAACTGGTAATTTACATTATCTAGGGGGGAGAGGAAAATCGGTGCTGTAATATTTTTGATGTTCTAGACAATATCATTTTCTAATTATCAATATAAAGTTAATAAAAACAACAACGCATCATCCCTAAAATGTATAAAAATAATTATTAAAACAAATTCGCGCTAAGTTTAATTAGGAATTGAATTCACAGACTAAAACTTTCATACGTTCATTTAAATTATGTACATTTTTAAAAATGACAGATCACGTGATCTCGAGTCGATTTGTACTTTTTAGGAAAAAGAAAAGAAACGCAAAAGTAATTTTTTATCACTGTCTCGTATACTGTATTTTTTATCCACAGATTTCTTTTCAGTATCTTAAAGAAAAGATGGATAAATATGATTACATTCAAAATAAATTATCAGGGATTATATATAATAAAACCACCTCACACTTATATAAGATAAAAATCAGTATCCAACTTCGGTATAATCATAAAGACGGCGTTAAATTTGGACAAATAAATTAAGCGAAGGCAATCTATTTATAAATTAGCTTATTGAAATTATTTGTCCATAAAGAATCAACATTTGATTGCAAACTTAGAAAGTGTACACCGTAAACAGTAAACACACACATGTTCAACGTACATTCGGAATAATTAGGAATTTGATAAATGATGAAAATTTTCGGGTTATTTTTTTTTTTTTACACTTATCTTGATTGGCTTCTTTATCGGGAGTTCAAAATTTTATTTGATATAACAAGGATTACAGGTAAAAGACCTTTAGTAATCGTTTTTCTCAAAATTACCCAATGATGTATTGAACTTTGAATAGAATTCATATATGAATCAGATGTGAAATTTTGAATCGGAATGAATGTTTCAAAATAACTTGCACAATTTCGAAAAAGGTCACGAAAGTTTCCGGACGAATATGTTCGATTATTAACGCGCCGAACTTTTCCGATGCATATGTATGCAAACAAAGATATAATTACCTTTTGGATACTCTGTGCTCTGGTTTACGTATTTCGATTCGTCGATTAAACTCTCTGAATTTAATGTACTACAATTTAGTTACGTGTTTTTTCTTCACTTCTTAATCTTCGAATTAAAATATCTTTTATCAAGCTATGATGGATTTATTACAAGTTTTTTTATATAAACCTCGGCTTCCTAACCAGTCTGTTCTTCAGAAAATTTTCAGAAAATCCATTCCCTCAGATCCATCTTTTCTAATATTCCATTTAATCAAAAAAAAATAATCCCCTTTACACATTCGAAAAAAAAACAAAACCATGATCCACTCTAGAATCGAAGAAGAACTTCATAATACCGCACATATTGACTATGACCACGTTGCCATTCAATGGAACCCCTCAGTCGCTCAGTTATATGAAGATGCCTTAAAATATGAGACGGGCTCCGCAATTTCTTCTACTGGTGCCTTAGTAACTGCTTCCGGTAACAAGACTGGACGTTCTCCAAAGGATAAACGTATCGTTGACGAACCTGGTTCTAATAAAGAAATTTGGGTGTGTATCTTTTTTTTTTTAAAAAAAAAAAATGAAAATGAAAAATGAAAAAATTTGATCATTTTATTAATCGATTCGTTATCCCTTTTTTTTTATGATATTAGTGGGGACCTGTCAACACTAAATTGCCAGAAAAAGTTTTCCTAATTAACCGTGAACGTGCTGTTGATTATTTAAACACCCGCAAGCGTATTTACGTCTTTGACGGTTTTGCTGGATGGGATCCTAAATACCGCATCAAGGTCCGTGTGGTTTCGGCTCGTGCCTATCACTCCTTGTTCATGCGAAACATGTTAATTCGTCCTACCAAAGAAGAACTTGAAAATTATGGAACTCCCGATTTCACGATTTATAACGCTGGTGCTTTCCCAGCAAATCGTTACACATCTGGAATGACATCAAACACTTCAGTGGCAATTAATTTTCATATGAACGAAATGGTCATTTTGGGAACAGAGTATGCTGGTGAAATGAAAAAGGGAATGTAAGTATCATTAGACCGCCTTTTGGTAGGTCCGTTTCTTTGGTTGGTTTTGAAGTTTGATTTGATTGGCCAAAGATTTTTGGTGCAACATAAAGTCTCAAACCTTAATTTGGGTGATACAAAAATCAACATTGAACAGACCTATTATTATAAAAAAATTTTTTGTTGTTGCATTATATACATTTCAAATATGTCATCTAATTATCATGCTCTCCTCTTCTGATATAGCTTTACGGTTATGCATTATTATATGCCGGTAAAACACAATGTTTTGTCTTTGCATTCATCTGCAAACGAAGGTGCCGACGGTGATGTTTCCATTTTCTTTGGTCTTTCTGGTACTGGCAAGACCACCCTTTCTGCGGATCCAAAACGTTTCTTGATCGGTGATGATGAACATTGCTGGTCAGATGATGGTATCTTTAACATCGAAGGTGGATGTTATGCCAAATGTATTAACTTGTCAGCCGATAAAGAACCAGAGATTTTCAATGCCATCCGTTTCGGTTCGGTCTTGGAAAATGTCGTGTATGAGGAACAAACACGTGTTGTCAACTATGACGACGATGCACTTACAGAGAATACACGCTGTGCTTATCCAATTGAATTTATCCCAAATGCTAAAATACCTTGCATATCATCAAGTCACCCAAAAAACATAATCTTATTGACTTGTGATGCTTATGGTGTGCTTCCACCAGTTTCAAAACTTTCTTCCGCGCAAGCCATGTATCATTTCATTTCCGGATATACTGCCAAGATTGCCGGTACAGAAGAAGGTGTAACAGAACCAGAAGCTACTTTCTCGGCTTGCTTTGGTCAACCGTTCCTTGTATTACATCCATACCGTTACGCAAAGATGTTGGCAGAAAAGATGGAATTGCATTCAGCTGATGCTTGGTTAGTTAACACCGGATGGAATGGTGGTGCTTATGGTGTTGGTGAACGTATCAAGCTTAAGTATTCTCGTGCCATTATTGATGCTATTCACTCGGGTGAACTTGCTGAAGCTAAATATGAAAATTATGAAATCTTTAACTTGCAAGTTCCAAAAGCATGTTCGGGAGTACCATCAGAAATTTTACATCCAGCAAAAACATGGAATGGTTCTCAAGAAGAATTTACTTCAACTCGTAGTTTATTGGCTCAACGTTTCATTGAAAACTTTAAATTGTATCAAGATCAATCAACTCATGAAGTTGTTAATGCTGGACCAATTTTCTCTTAATCATTTTTTTTCAATCTTGTAATTACATTCTATTAGACTCTTAGAACTTTTTTTTTTTAATTCAACCAATCATGTTAGATATAAAAATGGATACTTTTCATAATATTTTCATTTCTTTTCTGTAATTTATTTTTATACATTTTCTCGGTAATTTTTTTTTTAAAATTATCTTATTAAAATCAATATTTTAATACGCATCAATTGTTTACGATATGTATGATAATGCTTGTTACCGTTTTATTAAGTATTTACATTTACCGTCGAAATTTTCGAATAAAGGAAAATAACCTACATCAAAGACGTCACAACTTGATAACTTAAATATATGGGAGGTTTGCTATGATCGGATCATATGATTTGATCTCAAACGTTGAACGAGTTCTTTGATTTAACAAATAAATTTTTTCTTCCCGAAAAGATTTAATACTTATCTTTTAATTGAAAAAGTTATTGAAAAGGTTATTGAAAGGGTATAAATAATTCTGTTATCTCAGTTTTTTGAAACCCTAAAAAAATTAACTCGATTATATACGTTCAAGATTTAGATAATTTATCATATGAAAATTAAGCCTTATTTTTTTAGTAGCTTAATAAAAATTATAATTAATTGTTTAAATTATGGCATTGCATAAGGAGTAAAAATCGAAATTTTAAAAACTCGTCTACTTTTTTTCAATTGTTCGCGCGTTATTTGGCTTTTGGATGTTACGCTTGCAAAAGAAACCAAATAACAGTTGTACAATGACATCCTATATTATTTACCAATTTTTTGGCTATTAATTGCGCCAAATCGAAATTTAGAATTTCAATTTTACGAAGTGCTACATATTAATTCAATGAAAAGATATTTCATTTACGCAATCGAGCCTATATATTACCTAAAAAAAAAAAAAAAATATGGCTCAGTTACTTGACCGTGCAATACTT